CTCATCTGCCCTCGCAGATATCAATATACCTGCGTGTTTATTCATACAGCTGAGGGTCCAGCGACCCCTTCATACTCTCCTTGTCTTGGCATACTGGTCCTCGGCATGCTGGTCATGGGTCCTGGATTCTGGTTCCGAGGTCGGGTCACTAGTCAGTCATACCGCAGGAACGCGATGTTTCCCCTGTCCCTGGCCTCCCTTAACTTCGGCATCAACTCCCTTCTTCTCTTCCTCACAGACTCGGTGTCATCTTCATTTATATAAATATTAGATCCTTTAAGCTTCTTTGCTTGTTGCAGTATGTGTGCCTTATCTTTCTCTTTCATCAACTTTACCATCACCCCCCTCGGTCCCCAATCAGAAGGTTTCCCGACTCTGTGAACCCGCTCCATCTCAATTTCTTGATGAATTTGCAGTTTATCCATTAATATTTCCTTCACCTTCCATTCCGCATCCGTCCAGGTTTCTCCAGCTGACTCCTTGATTCCCTCGAAGATCAGGTTTTTTCGCTTGGACTGTACTTCCAAATGCTCCATTTTATCCATTATGGCTATTAGACTCTCACAAGTTTTGTAGACATCATCCCTTGTTTCCTTGGTTTGTATTTTCTGTTCACCCATGGCTGCTTTAATCACATCCACATCTCGTTGGGTAAACTGCAAACTCGTTTTTATCTCCTGTATTTCTCTGGTCATGTCGTCGAGTCTCTTGTTATTTGTCTCCATAAGTAGTTGCACAAAACCTTTGAAGTTGTCTTGTTGTTGGCTCAACAGTGCGGTGTACATCTGCTTCTGCTGACTCAACATCTCTGTTACTTGCGCCGCTGAAATATAATCCTCTTCTGCCTCAACATCCTCGTTCGCTTCTGATTTATTAGCTCTTTTGCCTCTTGGAGGCATTTTAATAGTTGTAGAATTTGTTCAAAGACTTGAAAATGTAGAAGATGTGAAAAATCGTAGAACAGACAAGAGGAGCAGTAAACGTCTGCGTTATTGCCACATTTCCCTCATTTGTGTCTTTTCCTTGCATCCTTAGTTACAAGGAGAAACTGCAAGGAGAGCTGAACTGCGGAAAAACATTTAAACGGAGATGAGATGTCCTTTCCTCTGATCCTTTATATGATGTGTCTATCACAAACTGATTTCCATGTCAGTCTGTAACAAACCTCTGCAAAGGATGCACCTGTGTATCCTCAGTTATAGTTCCTCTAGGCAGCCTCCTTGCTCCTCAGAGAAGAAATAAGAACTTTGGGATGCCCTTCATTATGGTGGACCAGAGCAAATTCCACACTGAGTGAGGATCAAGGAGCAATAAAATAAGGGGAATGGGATTCACCTATAGTGTCTATAAACCACCTGTCTTTTGACTTTTCCACTATATCTAACTCCAGCACTGTCTCTTCCTCTTTGGACAAAGGGGTATGGTGCTGAACAGCAGATCAGAACTCCAGCAGGTGCTGGAGCGGAGAAAGAGGGTGCAGAGTGACCAGGAGGAAGAGGGACAGAGTAGGACTCCTCTAGAGGATATGCTGCTCAGACGTCAGCAAAAACAACTTGAGGTAATAGATCCTATTTATAGGTTGAAAGGATGTTCACAGTTGCAGAAAATACTTAATTTTTTTTCATTCAAGTGGGCAGTCATTGTAATCATCAAATGAACTGCATGAAGGGATCAAAAAAACATTAAAAAATTATATAGTCACAAGTAGTTGCAAGGGTCCAAAGCCATTAGGCAACTATTGTTAACTGTAAAATAGTTCTTCACATTATACATTTTGGTCATTATTATCAGGAGTATGAGCTGTGTTTACAGCAAGTCAAGCTTCAAAAGTCAAGCTTCAAAAGTCAAAGTTAAGAATTAGTTTATGTCATGGTTGACTGTTTTTCTTGTTCCAGGTTTTTATTTTGGTACATTTCTGCTTTTCTTTTGTATTGTTTGTCTC